TATATATATATATATATATTATTTTTTTGTAAATTTCACGTGTTTCTCCCATTGAAAGCTGTTTGGTACAAACATCATGCTCAAAGCCATTAGGCTCGGCATGTTTGCCTTAGCATCACGCTTATATCGTCAAAAAGAATTTGACATTTTAATTACATGTAGTTTTGTTTAAAATTAATTAAGTTTTTTTGTTTCATCGCGTAAATTTTCTTAGAATGTGTTGGAAAACTAATTCAAAGTTGTAGTAGGAAATCTTAGTTATTTAGGATTTAGTTTATCTAATCCATGTCTAAATAGGATATGTAGTCATAACTAATATAGAAATAAGCTTTTCTGTTTCTAGTTGAAATATGTTTCTTATTATTATAAATAGGGGTATTGATAGCTTATTTTATATGTGTATGTGGAGGAAATAAAGAAATGTAGAGATCATTCAGAGATTTATAAATAAAAAAAATTCCTTCATATTGGTATCAGAGCCTCTACGATCTTGGGAGAGAATCAAGTAGCTTCCGCTGCCGGCGGGCAGCGCTAGCCAATGGGTGTCGCCCGTTTGGCCAAAAAAAAAAATATGTTGGCAAAATCATAGATAGTTGTCGACAAAATTAGGTTATTCGATGAAAAGTTTCATGATAGATTCAAGAAAAAAAACAAGTTTAAAGATGTGCAAACAAATATGGCACAAGATGAAGAAACTCTTCTCTAAAAGTTGGAGAGAGGTTTAAAAAATTGAAAGTTGATTTTGTGTTTCAGCAAAATTGAGTGTTGGTGACAAAGTGCATCAACGTACGGGTGTTGAAGATAGGTGCTTCAACAAAATTGGATGGTGGTGACAAAGAGCATCAACGGTTGATGACAAAGTGCATTTAAGTTTTTTAAAAATGGTATTAAGTATGGTATTTGTTAATTAAAAAATAATACCAAAACACTGATACCGTATCAAAGATATACTAATACTTTTTGTGGCGTTCATGTTGAGGTTGACAGTCAAACCATGTACTGCTTAGGAAAATAGAGGAATAAGGTAGCTAGATTGCAGATTCTAACTCTTACTCTTCAGGTTGCTAACTAGTTTAGCATAATGTTTCTAAGGTTTTAGGTGTATCTTACTCGGTTACTCATCTATTGTTGTTGCATAGGTTGGATTAGTCTTTGTTGTATTCTCTAAGTCTAGCAATTAACTTTAAGCAAGTAACAAGATATTTTCAATGATCAAATTTATTCTTTTATGTAATTTTCTCTCTCTATGTGTTGATACTTGTTGGTTTTAGACAACGATTTTATCAACAATTAGTGAGCTTAGAATATTTTTATTTTTGTATTGCAAGTACTTAAAATTAAGAATATTACCATCTATGGCTCTATGCACTATAGTTCAAGGCGAACAAATCGAAGTTATCGGATCGAATAAACTGAAACCGAAAGAAGAAAAATCGAACCATATGAATTTAATTAGGTATGATATTGAAATTATATCTTGAAAAACCAAATACCAAAAATACCAAACCTAAATATCTAAATCTTAAACATGGGGTTTGGATCCCCTCCGGTGATGTTTGGTCCAGTTTTCTTCAATAGGGTGTTGACTTGGTGACACGTGTCCTACATACTAATTAATGGACAAGATCTCTTTAACTAGAATGCTAGTTTAACCATGGTTCAATTTCTTTTTCTCCCGTTCTACGTCCATGCGGTCAAGACTACCCAACATATTTTGTTTCGCTTCATGCTAATGAATTATTGTTCTTTTATGGATCTGTTCAAGTTCTTTTTAGCATCAGTAAAGATGGAGGCGGAGCCAGGATTTAAAATTTATGGGTTCGGAATTTGTCACCGAACTCATAACTCGTTTTAGTTATTGGGTTCACAATTAAATATTTATACATATTTTTTGAACATTTTAATACAAATACAAGGTCTAAGCAAAAGTTACTTGGTTCGTCCGAACCCACATTTACTTCTCTAGCTCCGCCACCGAGTAAAGTGGAGGTGAAATCACCTAGAGATGCTTTCTTTCAGCGATATCAGGATTGAGTATAGTGACGTTCGAAGCCATTTTAATTCTATGCATATCCACAAAACGAATTCCTCTAGGATGCCACTTTTCATCTCAACCATACCATCGAAAAGAAAAAAAATTAGGATCTAAAACAATACACATCGGACATGAAGAGGGTGGTGGTGGTATTTATCAATCTTGGCTTGAACGCAGCAAAGTCTTCGACATAGCAAGGAATGGTAATGGTGTACCCTTTTGATTAAAAAAATTTAATGCCTTAGCCTCTTTGAGTAACTGAATCAAAAATGGGCGATTGAAGTATGAAACATTATCTTCTACTTGCCCTATTTGAATTGCTAGATATCCTTTCGGTACATTATTATTTGCTTATTTCTTTCCTGGACTAATTTAAATAAGGTGAGGCAAGTACAAATGTTTATTAAGAAGAGTCCTTTCTCCACCATCCAATAATTAATATTGCAAATAAAAGAAATACTAGTCATAGAGAGCAAAGGAGGAAAAAAGAAAGAGAACGAAAGAATAGCTTGAAAAGGGTTAAAGAAGAACAGCTGAGAGGACAAACAGAACAATGGTTAAACTAGTTTTTAGCTAAGAAAATCTTGTCCATTGGTTAGTTAATACAACACGTGTCAGGAAATCAGCACCCCATTGAATAATACTGGACCAAACATCACTGGAGGGGATCCCAACCCTTAAACATGAATCTGTATTTCAAATTAAATTACTTTTTTTAATCTAACTCGCGTATTTAGGAATTCAATTTTTCCAACCAATGTAGCGAACTTGGTCACAACATCCACTTTTTTCAGCTAGATTCAGTATTCTAAACAAAATAAGAAAACAAATAAATGAAAAAGTTTTTTTAAACAAAGAAGAGACAGGAAGAAATTCATAACTGGGGCAAATAGTCATCGTGGCAATAAGTTTTTAGAACAAATAACCACGTGAATTTTGTTCTTTACATTTTCTTTGCTTGTAATTCAGGGGTAATGTCAACTTTGGTTTGTTTAAGTTTGCCAATTATAATCTGAGCTAAGTTTATAAGAGGTTTTATGAATTAAGCCAATTTATTATAGCTTATTCATTATAATAACATCCAATTTAGTATACAATATTTCATTTTATGGTTGATTTTCTAATGACGCACCTAACATAATTCGCTGAACTGTTTCTTAATCCATGAAACCTCATCTTTGAACATGGGGGAGAGTAGTACCCTCCAACTTGAGGGGTACGTTGACCAATTTAATTTTGACATCCTATTTTGACTATTAAGAAGGAGAGCTTTGGAGCAACGGTAGAGTTGTCCCCGTATTACCTATATGTCAGGTGTTCAACCCGTAAAAATAACTACTAATACTTGCATTATGATAGACGACTGTCCACATCACTACCTTTGAGGTGCGACCCTTCCATGGACTCTGCGTGAACGTGGAATACCTTGAGCACCGGGCTGCCTCTATTTTGACTATTTAGTTTGACCAGTTTCGACCACATTAATTCGGTGTCTCCGTTATAGTGTACGTATTATCTAGTCTTTCGAGTTCCAAACGCTCTGTTTTTTCTCTGGTTTGCATGGAATTGATGTCAATACCAGACTGTGCATGTTCTAACCGTCAAATAAGAGCTAAAAACTGCTTCACTAATTAATATTCCCTCTATTTCAATTTAGATGACACTTTTCGCTTATCGAAAGTCAATTTGATTAAACTTTGAAGCTAAATTAGATTAGTTCTGTTCAACTCAATATTTTAAATTTTAAATTTAAGTATTCAAAAACTATACGAAAAGTACTATTAGTTGCAATTTCTCTCATATAAATATGATAAAAATACATTTTAAAATGTTGGTCAAGCTTCGCATAGTTTGATTATCGATAAGCGAAATGTGTTATCTAAATTAAAACTGAGAGAGTAGAAAAACTAGGGAAAAGTTTTCTCCACCTGATGGATACAAATAGAATAGACACATGCATGAATTCAGCTTCAAACAATTTTCTTATTTACATCAAATATTCATTGTTCATTAGAATTTCGTTCTGTTTACACAAGCAAAACGAAATGTTATGTCAAAAACATAATTATTTAAATAACAACAATAATACTGCAATAATATTTGTGAGCGGAAATACGTGAATTGACTTGAGTCGTGCTGGGCACTGTCCTAAGAAACTATTTCAGCAATGTGAAATGTTTCCCCAGGATTAAACAAGCCCGTCTCTATTTGATTCAGAGGATACAAAATCAGCAAAATATTTATATTACAATAATCCAACGAGATTGAAAAGAGAATAGGACAAAGAAAATATATAAGAAAAATTGAAAATAAAAGAAGCTAAGAGAGAAAGAGAAAGAAGGTTAAATAGAAAAGCACTTTTGATGGTGGATCATTGTGCTGCCAAATGATGGTTATTTATACTTAAAATTGCATGTAAATTTATAGTGCATGGCAAGAAAGTGGCTAATCAAGTTTGCCACTTGGCATAGTCTTTTAAAATATTGCCACAGTTACACCCTATGTAGAGACTAGACCCAATTATGTTCATCATATATATAATAACAAGAAGAAGGAAGAATTCTAATAAGATTAAGCAGCAGAAAGCGAAGATTGCCGCCTCAGATTCCTATAAAACTTGGAAATGAATTCATCAGCTGCTTCATCTACGTGGTTATAATTATCTTCTTCTGATCTTAGAGGAAAAGGCGAGTCCGTAACCCTAATTATTATAGGAGTCCTCCCAAAACCAGGCAAATTATTAGCAGGAGAATAATATGCAGTTTCAGTACTCTGAATTATCTCCAACGCTTTCACCACAGCTTCATCCACCAAAACTACGTCGTTTTCATTGGCAGAGAGAGTAGTAGTGTGTTTGTTTCGTTTGTTGTGAAACATAAGATTTTGGACAGCAGATTTGCAGCTACCAATTTTGCTACGCTTCACCATTAATTTTATATCGAGCATTAGCTTTTGCTTTGATATTCCTTTTCTTAACATGAAAAATGCCACTCGCACTATCTTCCACAACTTCTTTGCTATCACTGGCAAATTCTGTTCCATATCCTATCACTTTATTATTTTGCAAACTTGTTTGTTCGGTTGATAAGGCTAGCTAGATTCTGGGATATAGATTTGCTGTTTGGAATAATGAGAGAAAAATGTGCGTGTAATAACATTTATGAGAACGTAAAATTAGTTTATATAGCGACTGCACTTACCTACTTTAACGTTACTATATTAAAGTGACCAGTTGAGGGAGACTCACTCCAATATTATTGATATTGTATTTTATTGGCTCAATTATTAGTGGTGGAGCCGTGCAAGTGATGATTTGTTCAAGCTATAGCTTTAAGTCATTGTCACTCGTAAATTTGTGATTTTGCTGCATATTTCACATGGAATCAATTTTAAAATTGGAGATTAATTCTGATGTTTCTTCTAAAATTGCACTTAGATCTAGTGGTCTTATTGTTTCATGAAATGATAAATAATTATGCTATTAAAATACGTCTTCTTATCTAAAAAAGGGCTTTCAATTCTGTTGAGGATATTTTTCTAAATTCGATGTCGTGACTCTTAAGATAATCAATAAAAAGGAAGCAAAGAAATAAAATAGGAGTACTATTTGCCCTTTTATTTGGATACACTTGTCTTTTTTTCAGCTTCTAGATAAGTAGATATGGGTTGAAGGGTGTCTTGTAGCTTCAAAACCCTAGCAGCAGCTGCTGATTCAAAGTTTACTTAGCAATGTAGGTTTTCCCTGACACGTGTCCCTTCTCATCAAAGGAAAGAATGAAAAATAAAAGTTTATTCAACACAATCATGAGAACCTACTTTTTTTCTTTTTCTTTATTCGTTTCTACAGTTTCCCCATAATTTTACAGGCTTCACCATCATTTACTGAGGCCCCATATCCAAAGAGTATAGTTCACAATTCATATTGTAGTTCTTAAAAACTTTTTATTATTTCATATAGATATACGAATATTTTCTAGACCTTTTAGATAATTGCTAGTTTTTTTCGCCTTAGTAGAAAAATAGTACTCTTACCGTATTATTTATGTGGCAGTGCTGACTGATCACGAAATAAATAAAAAATAAAAAATTTGTGGTCTAAAATAAGTCATAAATATTTGTATGGTTGTAAATTATTCTATTTTGGGTAAAATTAAAATGTGAAACTAATTCTAAAAAAAGAAGTATGATACTTTATTATGAGCAGACTAAAAAGAAAATAGTTTAATGCATTGAGACCGAAGGAGCATCAAATTTACCATTTGTTGACTAGTAGTGACTATATATTTCGTTTTTTAATTACTCCTACAAGTAGATAAAAAGGAAATGTTTTGACCGAGCGAACCAATTGGCTGGCTGAATCAATATGTAATATCATAATATACTGAATGCGGAAGACAAACTAACATATGCTGATATAATGAAAGTCTGAATGATATAAATCAAGTGCGGAAATATAAACATAAGTCTGAAATATATATGTAGCCAACATTGATTAACACGAAAGCCTGTGACTCTATCTAACTGTTACTCTAGTCTATGAATCCTCTAATGAAGTACTAAAAACTCTGACTGTGTGTAAATGCTTAAAGACTATAAAGTAATGATAATGTCCCGAAAGAACTGGGGCTCACCAAATAGCAGGTACGAGAATCCTAGTGCTCTGAATCGTCAACCTGTAAATCATTACCTGCATTGTGAGAAGCAGGACCCGGGCAAAAGAGACGTTAGTACATTTGAATTACACTAGTATGTAAAGCAACTGAAAGAAAGAACTATAAATTCTGAAACTGAAACTAAGTTGATAACTAAGAACTGATAACTTAGATTATAACATATAACTGAAACGATAACTGATAGCTGATAATTGAAATGACAATTGATAATTAATATGATAGCTGATAACTGATAATTGAACTGAATAAATGAAGTAAGGATATGAATACTCCCTTTTTTGAATGATAAATTACTTGTTTATTTGAATAAACTACGGCCTCGGGCCCAATATATATGTGCACAAGCTACGGCCTCGGGCCCAAAAATGCATAAAGCATAAACTGCAGCCCCAGGCCCAAAGATGCATAAAGCATAAACTGCGTCCTCAAGACCAATATAGGTGTTCAACATTCAGAAATTTAAATTCAGGAACTGAGAATCATACTGCAATACGTGATGCTGAAATACTGAATCATACTGAGTTTCACGATACTGGAATGCTTAATAGGACTAAACTGAGACATGTATTCATAAACTGATTATGAGAACTGAAACTTCAACTGTTTATGACATGCTGAGTAATCTAGACTAAGACTCGTGGGCATCAAACCCAAGTCTATATTGATTACGCATTGAGCTCACAACGTTCAGAATGAAAGTCATGAACGGGTTACGAATATAGAGAATAGAAGTTCTACAACTATTCAAGAAACTGGGTTTAATTATATTTCTGAGGCAATTAGTAACGTCGTAAAGAAACGCAGTGTAGGGAGAATCATTAACATTCCCAAACAGCGAGAGTTAGCCTCACATACCTTAACTTCCTACTCTTGAGCGTAATACAACATTCGCCAACCCTTTCAACTTTAATCTATAGGAATACAAGTAAAAGGGACTCCATATTAGCAATAATACTCATGTTTTGGTCACTTAGGTATTTTACAAAATACCTTATGGGCGTAAAGCCTCATAGCGCTCATTTATGGTGTTTCTACACCCAAAAACCCATTCTCTTGCTCCTAGATAAATTCTAAAATCTCAAATTTCTTAAAATCAATATCATTCTTCATCACCCATAAGATAAAGGCTGAATACATACGGAGACACTTAAAGTTGGCACGATTTTTTATTTAGACACCTGAACTTAGGGGTGTTCCTAATGAGCACGTACATTACACGAACTTTGTTCCAATTAAGCACTTCTTGCTGAGTTGGCACATAGAGTAAGTTTCACCCAATATAGGCGCGTGAAGAGCCCAAAAAATAGATTTTTTTGGTCTTTTTTATTTCCTTATTCTTCTTCTTTATGTCCACCACCATTGCCCCCTCCACTTTCACCATTTTCTTCTTCTTCTTCTTTATCAGTGTCACCTAGACCGGATCTTAGGATTTCAGCGTCTCCCCAAATGCTACATTTGTTAGTTTCATTGTTACCTAAACACCATCCACCAGGCACTGGTTCGTCACGATTGTGGTGGAGAATTTCATGGTCAATTTGATCAAGAACTGGATCGTCTACCTTAAATGGCGAGGCAAATGCTGCTCCACTCATCAACAGGTCATTGAAGTCACTGGAGTTTAATCGGCATGCATAGATCTGATCAAGAACTGGATCGTCTACCTTCAATTACTATCTAAATAAGTCCGAGTTTTTCATTTCAAATCGAAACACCATTAATGGGGTCTTTAAAAAGCTTGAAGGTTTAAAATGGGTTACTTGATTTGATGAAAGTTTGTGAAATTAATGTTGGGGTTGCCTTCGGGTCGTCTTGGGGAATTTTTAGCCAAAGTTATAACGAATTTGGAGGAGTTTCTCTTACAAGTTTGGATTAAAATCTTGGTTGGAACAAGAACACACATGAAGATAGTGAAGAACACCAAGAACACACATTAAATAGATTTAACATAGCTTTTCCTCTCTTTTTTACTCAAAAAGATATATGTCCTCATTTTATTCGCCATTTGCCACATCAGCAGCGAGTGTATTGCACACACTTTGTAAGTTTCACTAATTGTCAAAAGAGTGCCTAATTGGAACAAAGTTCGTATAATGTACGTGCTCATTAGGAACACCCCTAAGTTCAAGTGTCTAAATGAAAAATCGTGCCAACTTTAAGTGTCTCCGTATGTATTCAGCCTAACAACACCCTTACAACTAATAATCTACAATCAACAACCCAAACCTAACCCTTCATGATTTTCTATCAAATCCACCAACTCATATCTCATAAACTTTGAGTCTATAATCATTAATCCAATGTTATAATCAATTAGAGGATGAAGATATTACCTTTTGACGTTCAATCCTCTTGAATTCGAGTTATAGAGTTTCTTTTCTTAACAATGATGTCTATTGAATATCTAATGATTTGAAGGGTTTACCCATATTAATAAGGTGTTGGAGAAATAAAATTAACTTAGAATCACCATTAGAACTTACCTTGGATGATGGAGAGACCATGGAGGAAGTTAGGTGCTTGAGAGCCTCCCTTTCTAGAGCACGTTTTCGTGTTTTGGGTTGTCGCGGACGAGGTAGGGCTTATAAAACGGCTTCCGCCCTCACGCAGCTGAAGGTCCAACGTGCATCAACGGCAGTGGCACTGCCATAAGTGCGCGGACGCGCACGGGAACAGCTAGGCTTGCACATGAGTGCGCAGACAGCGCATTGTCTAGAGAAACGCGTATAACTTTTTGAGCAAAGGTCCATTTGGGATCTATAATATATTATTGGAAAGGAGTTTCAAAGGGCTACAATTTGTATGTTTTAGTTTTTCGCTAATTCTTAACATAGTCCTGCTAGAAGACAGACATTCCATAAACTTAGTCGATTTTATCGAATCTTATGCACCTCACTCTCTGTGTTGAATCCGAAATAACTATTTCCACACATACTCATCCCGATAGGACTTCATATGTCTAATATGTAACATTAATACTCATTTAACACGTCCACACCTAGTCCAAATTTATGAAGTGTTACATGTTGTGGCATGGAAATCTCAATTTACTTAATATATATCGGATAAATTTATTGTTTATGGAAATCAATAAATTATTAATAATTCTTCCATTAATTTAGTCCTCTTTATTTGCCTGCTGATGGACGCACTAACACACTATATTCAAGGGGAGGTGCCATGGTGTGTGTTATTCGCTGATGACATAGCTCTGATTGATGAGACGCATGGCGGTGTTAATGAGAGGCGGCAGGTTTGGAGACACGCCTTTGAGTCTAAATGTTTCAAGCTAAGTGATGACGTCCAAATTCACTACTAAAAAGTAAATGGACACGGTCGCATGCAATATAATTTACCCAACTATGAGTCGGGGTCGAATCCCACAGAGAACAATATGTAGGCGATTAGGCGTGTAAGAGAATTATCACTTATTATGCTAAGCCAAACACTTAGAATGGTTTTGAATATATTTATAACTAA